TGAGTGCTAAACAAGAACTCAAGTGACCTTAGGGTGTCAGGCACAAACTTTAATGTTAGTGTCTGTGTGCCAGATGAAGGTCCTAATTGGTGAGGAACAAACTCGAGCTGCGCAGTGGAGACTTGGGCATGCCTAAGGCCTAACACTAATGACTCTAGACACAAACAATGTTCACTTGTTTATCCTCTCACACCCTGAGTTCAGATGGGTAAGGGAGGGTACCTCCCTTACTGCTGGAGTGTGCTGGCAAGGACGTTGCACGGCTGCAATCTCTGTAGTCTCTGGAGAGAGGACAATGGGATGAGGGGGAACATATACCCCTGGTCTATCCTGAAAGGCTAGACTCTGCTTCCTTCCAGCTATTTGGGAAGTTTGCCACATGGCTATTCCCAGGGTGGGTGAGGGTGGGGGCCCTGCAGAACAGCCCTTGTGGACTGCTTCCTCTCTTTTTAATTTCTATGCATATGTTTTTGTTTAATCTACAAGTATCTTCTTTCAAATTGATTTACCACATCAGGGTTTATGTCCCTCCTGTGTTTCCAATTACTTATGTGTCTTTAGTTGATCTTTTCTGAGTCTCTCATATGTGACTCCTCCTCTATTCAGCCATATTGGATCTCCTGAATGAAATAAAACAAAGAAAAGAAAAACAAAATAAACAGAAACAAAACCAACATGGCCCTAACATACAAATGATTTCATCAAATGTAAGTACTCTAAACAGATCAATTTAAAAAAAACTGGAGGAACAGAGTAGGAAAAAAGACCATGATCCAATTATATTGTCTATACAAAACTCACTTCAAAAATGTATTTTCGGGGGAGTGCACTGGGCCTGAAATATCAGTATCAAAGCTTACATACTGTATGACTATAGTTATATAACTTTATTGAAATAAAAATATCACACAGATAGAAAACAAATTAATGACTATTGTTAGGAGTTAGAGAAGGGTGTGGGTGTTGTGTGACTATAAATGGATGGCACAAAGGAAATTATTCTGGTGTTTTAAGTGGCTATGTATTTTGATTGTGATGGTTACAGGAATGCACACATGATAAAATGACATAGAACTATACACATGAATTATACCACTGTTAATTTCCTGGGTTTGATATTATGCTATACACAATTACACAAGGGCAAACTGGGTGAAAGTTTTGTGTAACCTCTCTGAGCTACTTTGACTATTTCCTGTGAATCCATAATTATTTCAAAATAGAATGTTTTCAAAAATTAAACAGATTGATTTTTTTCTGGTACTGGGGGTTGAACCCTAGGCTTCATACATGCTAGCCAAGTTCTCTACCTCTAAGCTACATCCCCAGCCCAAAGGAATTAATTTTTGAAAAACAACATTAAGCAGTATGTACACTGTGTTGGACTGTAGAAATACACCTCACAAGTCTAATCATCAGTCTTCATTGTGTTGTAGATATTCAGAAAGGCTAAGTAACAGAGAATTTTAGTTATACACTGTTGGTAAGATGATCTACTGAATTTAAGTATTTTTTCCTCTTTTACAATATAATTGAGTTATTTTTTTAAAAATCTAGCCTGAAAGGCCAGGGGTGTAGTTCAGTGATAGGGTGCTTGCTAACATGCATGAGTCCTTGGGTTCAACCTCCAGGACCACACATACATACATACATACACACACACACACACATCTGGGAGGAAGAAAAATATATATGCATACCATACATGATATCTCCAACTGGTATTTTCTCTTTTGCTTCCCCTTCCCCTTCCTTTTTGTGCTGAGTATGGGACACAGGGCCTCACACATGCTAAGCACAGACTCTGCCACTGTCTTAGTTACTTTTCTCATTGCTGAGACAAAATACCCAACACCCACAAGTTAAGGGAAGAAAGGTTTGTTTAGCTCACAATATGTGGAGGTTTCAGTCCGTAATTGGCTGGTTTCAAGGCAGTGTGGCAAATGGCAGAGGGGCAACCGTTCATGGCTGCAGAAGACAGCAAAAGCAACAAGAGAGAGAAAAGGGGGAAACAAGCCTCTTTTTGCCCCTTTTATCTTATCCAGACTTCTGGGATTAGGGCGGTGCCAACCCAATCAGTGGACTGATCCAGCAATCACCCAGCCTTAGCCCCAGCACCCTTAATCCCAGCATTGCCCTTTGAATTGGTCACAAACTCTAGATTCAGCCACCTCTGTCAAGAGCCTACCCCCATGACTGTGTGAGGTTTTTGGGGGACATCTAAACACAAACCATAACAGCTACTTAGCTACAACCCCAGTTTTACCTTTCTTTTAAAAAATAACATCAAATTTAGAGGCATAATTTATACATGGTAATATGGTAATATTCATGTTTTTTATATGTTCAGTTCTATGTAGCTATTTTTGGATGCTGAGGATTGAACTCAGGACCTCCACACGCTCAAGAGATGCTCTACACACTGAGCCATACCCCCCCAAAACAATACCATGCCACGGGCAACATATCTAACATTTTCATCATCCCCAAAATTTCCTCATGCCCCTGTTGTCAATCCTGTCACCCATCCCCTCCCCTAGCACTCACTGATTTATTTTTCTATCTCCATAATTTTGCCTTTTCAAGAACTTCCTATCAGTGGAGTCCTTTGAGTTTGGCGTCTTCATTTTGGCTTCCTTCATAATGTCTTCGAGAATTGTCCAAGTTGTTGTCTATATCAGTAGTTCATTTTTGTTTATTGCTGAATTATATTTCACTGTATTAATGCACTCCCATTTATTTATTCACCAGTTGAAGTATATTTGGTTTGCTGCCAGGTTTTGGCAATTATAAACAAAGCTGCTATAACCATCTGGGTATGAACATAAGTTTTCATTTATCTTGGCTAAATACCTAGGAATATCAGTGGGATATGGTATGTGTAAGAAACTGCCAGGTTTTCAAAGTAAGTATACCATTTTGTATTACTACCAGCAGGGTATGAGATTTCCATTTTCTCCACATCCTCCCCAGTACTAGATATTTTCATTTTTAAATGCCTTTGCATTGAGCATGTGAGGGTATTTTCTTATGGTTTTAGTATGTTTCTTAAATGATTAATCATGTTGAGCAACTTTTCAAATGCATAATAGCTATTCATATCATGTGTGTGTGAGTATGGTATCTGTTTAAGTCTTTTACCTACATTTTAAGTTGGATCATTAGCTTTCTTCTTATGAGTTTTTAAAAATTAATTCTATTGATACATTTCAGATATGCATAATGATCACCTTCATCATAGGAAATTCATACCTGTACATAATATATCTTGATTGTTCTTTTTTCCCCAGTCCCCTCTCCTCATTTCAACTCCTCTTCCCCTCCTTATTTACAAAAGGTTTGTTTCCATTTTTTTCCTTCTATTCTCTTTTTTCTTTTCCCTTCCTTCCATTCCCCCATCCCCCTTATTTAGTTTTGAGAGTCAGCTCACAGTAGTGTCTTGCCAGATGTGTGTATTATAAATATTATTCCCAACCTATGGCCTACAATTTCATTTTTATAACTTTTTCAACAAACAGAAGTTGTAAATTTCCATAAAGCCTAAGGCATCAAAATTTTCTCTTATGGGTCATATTTTTTTCTAGAAGTACTATCATTTTACATGTAAGTTTTACATATAAGTTTATTATTTATTTGGCATCCATTTTGTATATGATGTGATTATTAAAATCTCCAAAACTCCTGTTACCTCTGACCCTCATTAAAAAAAAAACTTTGGGAAATGCTCAACAAAAATTTTAATCCCTACTTCACAGATGTAAAAATTGGTTAGAGAAGTGTTGTGTTATTTCCTAAGGTCTGACAGCTGATGAGAAGTGAAACTGTAATTAAAGGCCAGGTCTCTTGCTGTCCTGGGCCACTATTTTTGGAGGCAGGTAGCTAGGGCTCAGGATGGGACCCCAGAAATGTGAAGATTCCCAATAGGGGGTTGAGAAACCTATTTGTCACCAATGTACAAAACTAGGACTAACCTTGCTCAGGCAAGATTTACTGATTTTTCTCTGGTTCACTTGGGGCTCTGCAGCTGAAGAGAGAGCCAGAAAATGACCTCAGAGGATGATAACATTTACAATGCACACATCTGGCAAGAGACGTGTAAGTTGACTCTCAGAACTTAGTAAGCAGGGGGGTGGGGGAAAAGAAGGAAGAGAAAAGAAAAAGACAATAAAAGGAAAAATGGAAACAAAGCTTTTGTAAGTAAGTCAGGGAAGAGGGTTTAAAAGGAGGGGAGAAGACCGGGGGGAAAGTCTGCTCCGGTGACACTAAACATTTTTTGATGATAATAATGATGAGGACTTGGAATGTGTTTAGAAGAGAACTCTGAAAATAATTACAAAGTTTGAAATTAAAATAAAGAACAGTTAAGGGAACTAAAATAAACCTAGAGGGAAAAGAAAGGCTCAAAATGACAGTAAAGTTTGGGCTTTCCTTCTGAGGAGCTGAGTGATGGGAAAATGGCCAGAAGAATCTATGCAAGGCAGCAAATTTCTTCCTTCCTGTGGAGGATTATTATATTATTAAAGACAGAATACACTTTTTAAAAATTTGAGTTTGGAGTAAAGAATTTGCCAAACATGGTTTCTGGTGAAGCATTTCAGCGTGAGAGTTTCATGACCCTCTTGCACAGTATCCTTAGATCCTGATACGATCCCGGGAAGCTTTTGTCTGTGCTCTTCCCTGTGGGTGAAGTCTTAGCATCTTCACACTGTTGTCAGTGACAGAGACAAGCCTGACCATAGCTCCTAAGAATTTATCCTCATGGTCCTCATCTATGAATCTAAGTCCCTGAAGGCCTTGCCAAATCAGATCGTAGTGCTAGAATATTCTGTTTTAAGCTTAGCCTCTGCTTGCACACCTCTCTGACCATCAAGGACCAGCAGCCTGACCGTGCAGACTAATGCAGTGCCCGCTCTGAAAGGCCAGAGAAGAACTGGAATATCTACCACTGACATCAACAGACACCACATTAAGCTACAGTGTCTTTGTGCTTTTCTCTACAGCATGGGTAGGAGCTCTTGCCATGGGCATGATCTTCTTCTGTTCTCCCATTGTGAGTATATTCACTGACCGTTTGGGCTGCAGAATCACAGCAACTGCAGGAGCTGCTGTCGCTTTCATTGGCCTCCATACCAGCTCCTTCACCAGGTAAGATTAGGGGTTGCTGGCTACTACACCAAGGCTGAAGATTAGCTTCATTTAGAGACACTCTTTCCCCCTGTGGCCATGACTGTGTAAGGACCCTGAAAGATTCATGATCAAATGGAACTCATCTAGGAAGGGCTTGCGGGACGTATTTGTAGGAAATGTTCCCAAAGAGGACCTAAGAGTTCCAAAGTGTTGGGAGGAGCCTAAGACTGGTAGTTCACAAAGCTGGGCCCAAGCCCAGTTTCAGCCACAGAAAGGCTATGGAATACCATATATGGAATATATATATGCACGATATATGTATATATATATATATTTTATATATGTATATATCATATATTTACATATATGTATACATATGATGTGTACAATTCCTTTCTCTGTACCTCAGATTTTCTGTCTATAACATAGGCGGATTAGACCAGATGGTCTTTCTAGGATCTTTGGAGTTCTGCCATTCTGTTCTCCTTCAATGTATCACATATCTCATGCCCTCACTTTCCCTCCCAGGAGTGAATTACTTGAGTCAAGCCATGTAAACATCCAGCATTCCAAGGTTCCAGAAGGAATCTTATGCTGGAAAAAAGAGGTCAGCTGAGCCCAAAGCTTTTTAGCATGTCTGGCCCTTTTCTCTGGTATCTCTGGTTACTGACAGAAGAATAATTTGGGACAGACTGATTCACGCCTTGGGCAGGAGAAGGATGTTCAGCAATATCCCTCACTTAAGGACAGACCCAGAACCCAGCAATCTAGCCAGGTACAGACTAAACTCAAACCCTAATCTCACTGGTCCAATGGCAGAAGTTGCTAGTGTTAGGCAAGGACTAGGCCACAGTTCTGCTTTCCTGCCAGCCCTACAGAAGCTGTGTAGAGGAGAGGGGAGAATAAAGACCCTACACCACAGCTGTAGGAATATAGGACTCCTAAAGAACTCCACTGACTTTCTGCCAGCCCCTTTGGAAGTTATAGTACCTCCTACTGCCAGTCTGCCTAGGCTGATGCAGGAGGATGCCGGTCTGAAGGCATGGAAGGGGCCCCAATAACATATCTGGAATGGGGCAGAGCTAACTTGCCAGAGATGTACTTTCTGAGCTTCACTTCCCAGAGCAGGGCCATGGATCTCTAGGCATAAGATTTCACTCACACAGGAGAATGATTATTGTGTTTTGCCTCAAGAAGGCCCTATAAGGGTGAGCCAGCTTTCCTCAGGACTTGAGCCTTTCCAGCTGTCCATCTTCCCCTCCAGGAGAGCTCAGATTTGGCTTGTAATGATTTCTTGCCTCTATCCCATCCAACTGGGACAGAGAAAGGAAAAGCCTTGTCCTACCTGGAACTTGTTCATTTTCTCTAGAGCAGCAGCTCCAAGTCATTTCCAGGCACCTCTGGTGGTCTACCTCATTTGTCCCCATCAAGCTAGTACCTGGTTTCATGTGGAAATGAGCAAGGTTTCAGAAATACTTTCAGTCTCAGCGGTGCATACCATAGCAACGCCTGTTGTTTGAGGCTGAGCAGAGCAATATGTAAACAAATTAGCAAATGTGGATCCCATTTCCCTTCCAAATGGGCCCAGTCACAGAAGGCAAAGGAGCTCAGATGTGGTGTCTTCTGGCACTCTTTAGGCACATTGGAGTAAGCGTTCTTTTTTCCAGCCCCTGAGCCCCTGAGTACATTTGCTCTTTCTGTAAGAACATTTCCAGAGCCAAGAAACTTTCCGGATGGTTTCACGTCCAGTGAATAAATGACTCTACTTGTGGCTAGAGCTCCAAGTAATCCTTCCTATTGTTCCAGAAAGGACGCTGAGTTCCTTTTCATGACACGGAATAGGGCAAAGTATAGGGATAGCTGATGAGACTTCAGTAAGCCCACTCAGGGGCTTCCAGTTCTGGGGCCCAACTAGAACTACTAAACAATACCCTGAACTAAGCCCCATGTTTTGCTACCACAGCCCCTTCTCTGAAGGTCTAGCACCTCTCACTCAGATAAGGCCTCATCCCATGCCATTCCTATAGGGTACCTCTTCATGGGAGGAGGCCCACAGGAACCTGAGAGAAGAGAAGCAGTTGGCTTTATCTGTGTGTTCCAGATGGAGATATCTATTTGAAACCAAAACCCCTGCTCATGTCCAGTAAACACAAGCAGATGGAAAGCAACAATGAAGATAGCCATCTTGGAAAACTAGCATCACATCATTTCTGTAGCATAGGCCCAGATGTTCAGTATGAAGATTGGCTGTCTTTTTGGGAAAGAACTGTCTGGTCCAGAAGAGTACTGGACAATTAAGTGTACAGATAAGAACTATTTCAAAATATATGCAGGCATCAAAAAGAAAAAAGAAACCTCTTTACCAGGTTGTATCAATATTGTCCAGGGGCAAATAGCTGGCCATGCTGACCTTCTCATGGTTTTTTTACTTCTGACATTTTGCCTTCTGCAACAGAGGTTTATGGCCACAGCAGAGTCTAAGAATTTTAGGCCAGGATCTGTCTTACTTGGTTTGGCCCAAAACTTCTTTGAGGTTTCGTTTCCTCTCAAGCCGCCAGGCTACTCTGGGGAAACTAATCCATACCATGTACAGCAACAGAGGTATTACCCTGAAAATTAAAGAGACTTCTTACCTCAGGATACCATCCATGGAGATTATCCAGAGCCTGAAGTAAAGGTCTTGGGACATCTGGACTTTGGACATGGTTGAGGAGGGCATGTCTCTGAAATTATGAGCCATTCTCTGAAATATTAAGGGCCTGGAGTATGAAGAAAGACTGAAGAGTCCTATGTAGGTTCTCAGCCTTCGAGGATCTTGTCTCTCTGTAGAACTTTGCTGTTACTTGGGGAAAAGCGTTGACCACCAGTCTGCCTGTGTTGTCTACATGAGCAGTCTCTCCAAGACACTGACTTACTCCCCATAGAACTTTATCTAGCCTTTCCATAGGTGGTTTCTGGCCTTATTTTGGACAGTCTTTGGTGGGGTGCCACAATGCATGCTCAAAAGCAAGCCAGGGGGCTGGGGTTATAGCTCAGTGGCAGAAGTGCCTGCTTGGCAAGAGCAAGGTCGTCAGTTCAATCCCCGGTAAGGCAAAAAAACCAAAAATTTAAAAAAATTATACATTCAAAAGCAAGCCAGAAACAGCCTATGGAAAAGCCTGAAGATCAGTGTCAAGAAAGGTTTGAGATGAAGGGTGGTGGGATGGAGGTCTCAGGAGGCTAAAGGGAGAAGCAGATGGCTTGCTGATCGGGTTGCTGATGATAATTTTTGATATCTCTCCCACAGTTCCCTCAGCCTGCGCTACTTCACCTATGGGATACTCTTTGGTTGTGGCTGTTCCTTCGCCTTTCAACCATCCCTCGTCATCCTGGGTCACTACTTCCAACGCCGCCTGGGTCTGGCCAATGGCATTGTGTCTGCTGGGAGTAGCATCTTCTCCATGTCCTTTCCCTTCCTTATCAAGATGTTGGGAGATAAGATCAAGCTGGCCCAAACCTTCCAGGTGCTGAGTACCTTCATGTTTGTCCTTATGCTGCTTTCACTCACCTACCGGCCCCTCTTGCCCAGCTCCCAGGACACCCCAAGCAAGAGAGGTATCCGCACCCTGCATCAGCGCTTTCTGGCTCAGCTCAGGAAGTACTTCAACATGCGAGTATTTCGCCAACGTACCTACCGCATCTGGGCCTTCGGGATTGCTGCTGCGGCCCTTGGCTACTTCGTTCCCTATGTACACCTGGTGAGGAAGACCAGGCTGGGCCCACCCCACCTGGCCTCAGGAAGCTGCCCTCAGCCTTTCTGGAGTACCGGGGTGGGGGTGGAGGATACTGAAAGGGCAAAGCTGAGATGTTTGAGAAAACAAAGGAAATAGTAGTTGGAGGTAACCAGAGGGGAAAGCACAGGTCAAAGGAGGGCTTCAAAGAAAAATGGAGGTGGGGGGCTCCTTAGGGGAAGGTTTATGGACCATAGCTTCCATTACAGTAAAAAATCTAGATAGAGAGGCTGGGGATTTAGCTCAGCGGCACAGCACCTGCCTGGCAAGCAGGAGGTCATGAGTTCGATTCCTGGTACCAGAAAAAAAAAATCTACATAGATTTTTAGATGATGACCATAATTGGGATGCAAGGGACTGGCTCAGGTGGCTCAAGACAAGATTTTCTAGGATTGTGCTCTGTGCAATGCCAGTCTCTATGGTCAAATTATTTTGTTTAGGAAATAATATACTACATCTCTCTAGCTTTACAATGTGTAGTAATCTCTTTAAGGTACAAATACTGCAGTAAAGTAACATATTCAACTGTGTTTAACCCAACATTTATTGAACTACAGGGCACAGAACTGTTGGTTCTAGTTCACCTGCTATCCTCCATAGACTGTGTTTCTTAGAACACATTATAGAAGAGTTACTTGGAAGATGCTTGTTCCTTCTCTCCTGGTGACCAGATGTTGCCCCAACCTGCCAGTTTTGGGGCAGGGTATGGGGAAAATATAGAGGAACCCTTGAGGAGGGTGCAATTGTTAAGGCTATATTCTGTCCCACAAAGGCTTAGAGGGAGCTTAGAGATACCCACCCTCCTTGGCTGTTGCCCAGAAGCTCAAAATCCAGAAGGTCAAGGAATAGGCAACCTTTTGGGCTGTTAGAACCAGGCAGAGAACTTGTGCTGGAGCCAGGGGTAAAAGGGAGAGAGATACAGGAGATAGGACTCTTGTCCTGATCCAGGGAAGTGAGCAGTAAAGGTACTGTATATACCAACACTTAACCAGTCAGCTCCCCTCCCTCCTCCTGTTCTGGGGGTTCTGGTGTTATGCTTTTCAGATGAAGTATGTGGAAGAGCAGTTCTTGGAAATCAAGGAGACCTGGGTGCTCTTGGTGTGTATTGGGGCTACCTCAGGCCTCGGGCGTCTTGTGTCAGGCCATATCAGTGACTCCATTCCTGGACTTAAGAAGATCTACTTACAGGTGAGTGTTACTTCCTGCCTACTGTGAGGAAAAACAGTCTGCCTCAGGTTAACCTCAGGCCTTGGAATAGAACGGTAGGGTATGCCACCGTAGTCCCCTAGACCACAGCTCTAGCATCAGCTTTGTGCAACATGGAGGAGTCAATCAAACTCTCTGAGATCGGTATCCTTTGCTTTCAAACAAAGGCAGTCATTCTTGTTGTACCTCCTTCACCAAAATGGAGCAGTTATCGAGGGTATACTGTAAAGTGTAGATGGAACCTTTAGAATGTTTTTCAGGAAGTTTTTTTAAATGTTAATAATGGCTCTCCACCTGAGAGCTCCTCCTGTGACTCAACCAAGGTCAAATGGAGGCCAAAAGTTACATGAAACCCAGGAAACACTAGTTTCAACTACCACAGTAAGGACTTCATTGCTACCCTACACTCTGCTGGGAACTCTTAGAAATCTGTAGTACTCTGTAGCCCAGGGTCTCTCCTATAGTTCCAGGCCCAGGTCTATCATATCTCACACTTCTAGAGCTACTTGGCATCAAGCACTGGTTTTCAAATACCATCCTATCAATGGATGCCCAGAAAAGTGCCAGAAAATGCCAGATCTCGCTTTGTCTCTCTAGTCCTCACTTTTCCTCACTTGTTCAATGACAGTAATTCTTCCCTTTCCTATGTCACCTTATAGGTGAGGGTCAAAAAAATATTTGTATGACCAGGTTGTAATCCCTCTGACAGTGACAAGGTTTTCCTTATACTGTAGGCAGTAGCCATATGGGTGCTACAGAAGCCACTTTCTGTGAACTGGGCTCTTGTCTGGTTTGCGCACAGATTACTACTCAAGTTGTCAATCTCGTGCACCTGACAACAATGCTGCCTTCCTGACTCAGCTCATGCTTTTTGCTCTTACAGTTGGGCTTAGCAATGTGGCAAGTGCAGAACTGTAAAGGGTCAAAGCAACCGCAGAAAGCAAGTAGGCACAAATGATCCACCTGGAAGGTGGCTGAGTTTGGACTCATCCCCCAGGAAAGCCCTGAAACCACTTCCAAGGAGCCCTGCCTGTAGTCGTAGCAGGGGCTTCTCTGTCTCTCATGGCCCTGAGTAGGTTCCTAAGTATCCTCAGGTGTCTTGAATAAGGACATGATTAATTTTTCCTATTGTGGTTAACTCTGGTAGTTTGCAAGAGCTGGCGAATCTGCTTTGTCAGAGCTGGGTGTGTCCATATGGTCTTACCAAATCCAACTTCTCGTTGCACTAATGAAGAAACTGAGGGAAAGGCTTCTCAGCCGTGATAGAATTAAACTCTTCTGCAGCACCCTTATATTCCACCTTACCCGAAATGATGGATGACAGAACCAAGGCTCAGAGATAAGTGGCTTGACCAAGTACAAACCCAGAGGCTGTGATTGAGATAAGCCAATTATGAAGTTTGGAATCCCTGTGCAAATAACAGCAAGTACAGGGTGGTTTTTTGCATAGGAGTATATGTGCTCTCCCAGCCCGTTTTGCATGACCCTCACAGGTGTATCTTCCCTGCCACAGGGTTTGGGAAATCAGGATAATCTGGCACTAAGCCAGGACTTTATCTTGCAGGGAGGCAACAGCCCCTGTCTAGCCATGTAGCTCATGCGCTGCCCATCACAGGTGCTAGGAAAGAGGTAGCGTCCAACAGCTTTTGCTTTCCATTGTGCAGCAGGACTTCCAAGGCACAGATAAGCATAACTAGGTACAGGCCGAGCTGGGCTGGAACCTAGTGTTTCTGCTAACTTTCCCCTCCCACTACTGCTCCTGCCCCTTTTTCTTACTCTTACTTGACCCCGTTTAACTGCTTAGAATATCAAATAATCTTGAACATTATAAATGAAACATATCTTCATCAACTTGTAGTCCATCTCATTTTGCAAATTGAGTGTCACAGGTCACGAGCACAAGAGAATGGATGAACTTCTTCTTTCTCTTGAGTTTCTCAAGACACTCCATCACAGGAAGTGACCTCTTTTCTCCCTGGGTTAGATGCATGAGTATAGGCCTGGGAGGAGAAAAGAGGTACACAGTCTCCAGTTCTGAAGAGCTACCCACTAGACCAGTGGTAGCAAACCTATGGCACGCATGCCATGGCGGGCTGTTATCATTGCAAGCTCTGAAAGTTTCACCATCACTACACTAGACCCCATGGTTCTACTGTTGGTAAAGACAGGCACACATACCTGGCATCCAGCTGCAGGACAGCCTCTTGGAAAGGAAAGTAATCCTGTCCTTGTCCAAGACACCTTGGGTATTTAGGAAAGCACCTGGATCCATCTGAAACAGAAATTCCTGCTGTGAGTGTAGTGAGGGCCCCCTTGGAAGTGCTTTCAAGGATTTCCTGGCAAAGAAACTTTCAAGATAGCCTCATTTTGGACCGATTTTTGAGGCCAGATTTTCAGTTCCAAGGATTTTTTTTTCCCTAAATCTTAGCAAAGCATCATGGAGGAGGATAAAAGGCAACTAGATACAATAGGTATCAATTGGGTTAAAATCAGTTAATCATATCCTTTGTGTAATATAATGGTGTCAACTCTTAATTCCCAAAACAATCTTGTTTGATAGGTGGGTCCTTTCCATCACATAGTTGTGTATGAATTTCCTAAAGGAGAAACTGAGATGCCTCAGCTCTTATTCCTAACCTGTATCTAGCTATGTCAAAACAGCCTGGGCAAAGTTCAAAGTTCCCCCAACAAAGAAGATCCTCAGATGGCATTAACCTTTCCAAAAACCAACCAATCAACTTAACAAACCCCACATCAGCAACAACACAGAAAATCTGTAAGGCCTAAAGAAGACTTGGCTCGAAGTTCTTCCATGCATTTGGGTAAATTGGCCTGTTTACTGGCCAACAATGAATTATTGGCAAATCCTTGGGCCTCTTAAGGCCTTAGTAAACAGATCAGGTCTTAGCTCTGGCCCTGAGATGACCTTGCTCTGGAAGCGTTGGCTGGGAAAGGAGTAGGGGGGTTCCTTTCTCTGCCCACAGCCCAGATCTTCGGTCTAGCTCACAGGCACAGATTGTAAATGACCTTAATCAAAAGATCTGCTGTGTTCCTAGTGATCCTTATCTCTGCTGGAGGTGGAAAACAATCTTCGGAAAGACAGTTTGTTTTGGAGTCATTTTTTTCAGCCCCTTAGAAAAACCTAGTGGCTAGTCAGTGCTTCTGAGCTGGCTATAGGCTCCCTAGATACCCTTGTAGTAGCTTGGTTCCCCTGAAAGTCCTCATTATGCTCTGGGGTGTTCAGCCAAGCCCAGAGCCATGTTATGATGTCTGAGGCATGTGATGTGTCCCATTTCCCAAAGCGTAAGGAACCTGGGTGAACTCCCAATGGTCTTTTTCTAAAATCTACCCCCACAAAAATGGGCATTGGTTCCTCCCCATTTGAAGAAGCTCTACCTTCCACTGCAGCCCCCATCTAATCATCGTGCAAGCCATCCTCACCTCCTCCCTTTCCTTTTCTCACATCTCACTTAGAGCCAAGAACATCAGTGTGTTCTGAACCCAGGCCCTGATTTGTGGGACAGCCAGAGGCAGGAGCAAAAATCAGAAATAGCAATCCCCTTGATCTCTGGATCCAGTGCAAAAAACAACTTACTGGGGCCGGGGGTCATGCCCTCTGTTTAAAAAAAAATCTTGTTATGTTCATTTAAGTAGGGGCTCTCTTAAAGACTTTGACTCATTCACTGCGGGAGTTAGAAGGGCTTAAGTAACTATTTAGTCCCGCTGCTCTCCCTGATCCTGATACCCACCCTGCCCCATTTTACAGGTGGTAGAAATTAAAATCTGAGGCAAAAGATGTCATTCGTTATATGGTTTTGGATGGCTAGCAAAACATGACCTTGGGTCCTTGTTCTTCTAGGTCCTCTCCTTCCTGCTCCTGGGCCTGATGTCCATGATGATTCCCCAGTGCCGGGACTTCGGGGGCCTCATCGTTGTCTGCCTCTTCCTTGGCCTGTGTGATGGATTCTTCATCACCATCATGGCCCCCATTGCATTTGAGCTAGTGGGCCCAATGCAAGCTTCACAGGCCATTGGCTACCTCCTAGGCATGATGGCCCTACCCATGATTGCTGGGCCCCCCATTGCAGGTGAGGCTGGTTTCCAGAGAGGGCATGAGTCAGGCAGTCCTATTTTCCCTGGGCTCTATCTCTCCTGAGTGCCTCTGCTTGAGGCCCCTATGCTCTTATTTTCTGTGTAAGCAATCTTGCCAGTGCATAAAGCTCCTTATCACCACTGGTGGAAGATACTGAACACAATACATAGACATGGATTCATTTGGGGGATGGATTTTCCATAGCTTTATATCTTGCACTGGGATTTTACTGTAGAGAGTATGGCTCTTTCCAGGAAAGTAGAGAGAAAAATGGATTTGGCCTTCTTAACCATTCTATTGATTCATGTTTTCTTGCTCTCTCCACAGACAAGGGATTATTTTCAAGGTAATTGGGTAAAAGAAGTGGGAAAAGAGAAAGTGGGCCATGCTTTTATTAAAATTTAGAGACACCCTCCTCCTCCTTCTCTACCGGCTTTTAAATTGAGCCTATAGAAGATATTTGATTAAGGAAACACTCCAGGGCTAAGCCAGCAAGGCTCACCTACAACGAGCAGCAAGCAAAGTGCTGAAATACTGTCTCTCAGCACGCCTAGTTTCTCCCTCTACCCTGCCAGAAAGGCATTGTTGGTACCCCAGGGAATATAAGAAACAGGAAAACTAATGAAAAGAGAACTTCATTTCCTTTCTAGGGATTTATTGTAAACATTGTTTCATGGGGTCTCCTCCCCTAGGCTGGTCCAATGAGTTAACTCAACAAACACTCCTTGAACACCAACTATTATGTGTGAAGTGTTGCAAGGGCACCCATGTGACAGTCGCAAACCTTTCACTCTGGTGCTTGTGCAACAGCCACACTGCTTACTTGGGGAGGGGAGCCTCTACCCTGCTCCTGCTCCCAATAGTGCTCCAGCATCCACAGTTCTTTCTATTTTGCTTACGTCCTGAGTAAGCAAAAGCCCAGGGCCTTCTTGCCATTCCTGGGTAGTGTTTCAGTACCTCCCTATGAGGTATATCATACTAGCCTCTGGAGGACAGCAGGGGATGTCTTGCATGACATGTAAAACATATCCATGCTATTGGTAGCTAAGAGGAACCCAGAGGGCCCAACCATATATGTAACTGGAAGAAAGATAAATACAGTTTCTTCTCAGGGCACTTGGAGCTTGAGAGAAAGGGCATTCAGAGAAAAAGCAAATAGGAACTCAGTTGTATTGTTCTACAGGAACAATATGGGGGTGGGGCAGAGTAAGAGAAATAACACTGTGTACCAATACAAGGCTTCGACATCTTCTTGACGTCCTTTTAAACTAGGTTCCCACCTAACTCCATCCATACGAGTCACTGGAAGATAGTAGCTTGATGAAAGTCACAAATGTAGAATCTTCAAGAGAAGCTTCTTCCAATAATTAACATTCACCCCATGGGCCTATAGGCCCATTACCTTCCATGAATTTGAGGGACCTTCTGAGTCAAGCCAGTGAAGGTTAAGATTCTCTGGGTAGGCACTGGTACAGCCCCTAGTTGAGGCCAGACAGTACCTCTGAGTGGCAGCAAAGCTGAACTTGATTTGTGTTTCTTGACTCTTTCAGGCCTCCTCCGCAACTGTTTTGGGGACTACCATGTGGCCTTCTACTTTGCCGGTGTGCCCCCCATCATTGGGGCTGTCATCCTCTTCTTTGTCCCTCTGATGCATCAAAGAATGTTCAAGAAAGAGCAGAGGGATTCCAGCAAGGATAAGATGTTGGTTCCCGACCCAGACCCCAATGGGGAGCTGCTGCCGGGCTCCCCCAACCCTGAGGAACCTATCTAATGCCTTTTAAAAAAATATTGTGTGCTCCCCCCAGCCCTTCTTCTTCATCCCACCCTGCTCGGCATTTACATTTTTGCCACCAGCATACTTGTTCCCAAACCTGTGCACATAGCGTTTCAGCCACCTGACCATCCCCTTGGAGCCAAAGCTCTAGGTGTCCCACATTCAACCCAGTTTTCCCCACGAATGCCTTTAGACTTTCCAAGGCCCTTCTCCCAGGATCTGGGCAAGCTTGGGATCACCTTCTGGCCACTGGAATTTCTCCACGTACTTTCTGATCCCTGAAGGAGGAGGAGGATGCGGATGCAACCTCCTGGCCCTAGCTTGTGATTCAACCTATAAAATCAGGTGCCAAAGGTGCTACTGTGCCCCCAAGAGCCTAGTGGGGCATACCCAAATTTTTATTTGTTGAGGACTTCATTCCCATTCATCCATGAGAACTATTTGGGGGGAAGGGTAAGGTGGCAAAAATGATACAAGTATCCTGGTTAACATCAGAGTTTCTGAGGCTGTGGCTCCCAAGAGCCATGAACGGGGAGAATCCCCATGTTATAGCTGGTTAAAGTCTGCTTCTCCCTTCTTTTTATTTTTCCTTTACTACCTCTTCTCTATTCTCTTTCCATTTCCTCTTTCTATTTCTTTTTATGACTGCCATAGACACATAAGTGCTTGGAGAAAAGAAAGACCCAGAGTTTGGGCCAATCAGCCTCATCTTGGCCCTGTCCACCCCTAACACTGGCATTAATCTCACTCATCTCAGGCTGAGCCACATCTCACTTTGGGGCTCAAGGTGATATAATCATAGACTGGAACAATAAAATATCACACAAGGAAAGGACTTTAAACAGCATAAAATTCCACGTTCCACTCACTGATTTTTACAGATTCCCAAAACCAGTGTATTAACTTTAGGCCCAACCTCATATCTGCCTGTCAAACTGTGAAGAACTTCCTTTCGTCTCAGCAAGAAGAAGAGAACTGATGACCGTGAGCTGACATGGTGAGGGGAGATACAGTTGTTGTTAACACCGTGGAGGACTGTATCTCTCAATTTTCTTTATTTTGGTCTTTTTGAGACAGCGTCTCGCTATGCAGTTCAGGCTGGCCTTGAGCTCACTTTGTAGCCCAGGCTGGTCTCCAACTCGCAACAATCCTCCTGCCTCAGCCTCCCGAGTGCTGGGATTACAGGCGTGCACCACCACGCCCAGCTTATCTCTCAATTTTCATGACAGGTCAATATTTCCACCTGGGCCAGGCTAAGAAATGGACTATTTTAGGAAAAAACACATTCTGAGCCTGGATCCCAAATAGGTACAGGCAGCAGCCACATATAGGGTTGGACAATTTCTTCTAGGAAGGGGATACCTCCTTGGGCTTTACCACTGAGCATGTACCCCCTGCTGCTCAGTGTGCATTAAAGGTGCCAGGGAAAGTAAACTCTAGACCACCTTCATCCCTCTGAAGTAGGTGCCAGATGCTTCTCTATATCCAGGCTCTTGACAACAGTCTTATTGAAGAACATTCCAAGTACCCCTGGCTAGGGGCAAGAGGGCACTGCCAGGCTGTGTTCAGCTAGCACAGCTTACCTCGTTCTCTCTCGTTCTTTCCCTCTCTCTCTCTCTCTCTCCTTACTTTGTCTTTGTGTCTCTTTCTTCCCCCCTGCAACCTTTTATCAAACTTTTTGCCAGGAATCCCCGGCTGTCTTATGGAGTCAACAGTAAATTACCACCACAAACCAGGGTCATACCGGGGCCAGGATGATGAGGTTTCCCAAAGGGGCTCTAAAAAACACAATGATCCCCACACATGAGTTTTTCCATTACAAATAGGCAGCTGGGGCATAGTTGGTCTTATGGTTTCATTCAAGGCCAAAGTCCTGAGTCCCTCTCTGTTGGTCCAAGTCCAGCTCTCATCAGCTCCCCAAAGGAAAACCCACTGATTCTTGGTCTGTGGGTGTGAAAGGGCCTAGTCACTAGCCTGTCCACTCAAACAGCAGTGGAACAGGGGGAGCTGGGATCCAGAAACCCTTTATCTCCTAGAAAAACCACTGAAAATACTGCAGCAACAATGCCCTTGCCTCCATTCCTCCCCATCCCACCCCCACCGAGTCACTAGCGGGTGGTTCCACAGGGCCTCCTTTGTTGATCCTGGCTGTTTAGTTCTTAAGAATCAGGCTGCCACTTACTTCTCTCCAGATGAAGGAAAGACATTCACTGGTCCCAAATCTGCCCATTCAGGTGTCACATAACATTGGCAGGGTGTCAGTTTACTTCTTCCACATATGTCCATGTGCATGTGTGGGCTTGTATGCTTTTGGAGAGAATGTTGGTTGGCAAAAGCAGCACAGTATTAATATTTAGAGTAGGATGCAGCCTTTTATGCACCACAGTTACATTTAGAAGAACGAACAAAAATGTTGGAGCTTGAGACCTGGCACATTTAAATCCTCAAGGGGTTTGGAACAAAATAAATAGATCTAAAAGTCTGGTTTGGGTATCTATGTTGTCTACAAGGGTGAAATGGTCTGAACCTGGTTAACGGCAGGAAGTTTGGCTTTAGAACTGAAGTCTCACTCCAGCCCAGATTTTTGCCAGGGCAAATTTCCCTGTGAGAGAAGACAATGGAAAAGGAGCTATATAAGGGTTTAGGGTTGGGGGGACAATCTGAGATTGAATTGTTCAGGGAGCTCTGGAAAAGTGATGACTTTACAATAGGAAAAGATGGTCACTGGGTGAGTTGGAGAGGAGACCTTGCCACGGCTACTACCTTGCAACAAATGTGCCACACTAAAAGTTGACAAAAGCCTTAGCAATAATACAGTTCAACCCCCTCTCTCTCCTTGGACGTTATTGATGGAGAACCTGAAAGTATTACAACAAGAGAGTCTGGAATGAAGGGTGATGTAGGACAGCGACCTTCAAAAATGACAAAGCAAGGAATAATCTCAGAGTCTCCCTTGTCTATATTCTGCATTTCATTAAAGTGGGAAAACTGAGGCCTAGCAAAAGGAAGGGAATGGTACAGAATCACACAGCTCATCAGTGACGTAGCAAGCTGAGACCTGAGTTCAGGTGACTGACTTCCAGCCAACTCCAAAGCCCTGGATTTCCAGGCGAAGAAACCAGCCCTAAAAGGCAAAAAGGATTCGCTCACTTCATTTAACAACCATATAGCAAGCCCCTTTCCAAAAGGGTGTCAGCAGGACTAGTTCCGAGGAAAAATAAAAGCTGGGCGAAGTGTGCTTTTCAGCATGCCCCATGTCTTCATGACTATTTTCACTCCTGACCGTATGATTACCTTCACTGCCAACCGACACATATTTTCGGTATTTTGTCCCAGTTACTCTAGACCTTCACGCAGCCTTGACCTTGGAGACCTGGTTCCACCAAGTGCCCTTCCACTCCCAACAACCCAAGAGGTACAAATAAGCCTGTCCCTCTGACTGTGCACTGGGCAGGGTAGGGATAAAGAGAAAGGACCAGTTTCCTTTCAGAGAAGGTGGTTTACTATCTCTGCTATGTTGTTTCTCCCCACTCAGTGCTCATACCTTCAGGATACAGTAGTCCTCATCTCCTCCCACTGAGGCTAATTATTCTGTCGCGCTGCCAGCCCCGAGGCTCTCCCACTCAAGGACTGCAGCACCCTCAGTCCCTTCCCGCAGCAGTCCCAGGATCCAATCTCTTTTGGATCACTCAGGATCTTTAGACTTCAAAGCTGTAAAGTCCCATAATTTTTATGAGCATATGGTCTCCTCCAGGGCCTTCACCTACCTAAAAAGGCAGCCAGAAGCTCCTTGCCACTTCTTCACAGTTAGCAGAGCAGGCCAACTGACAAGAGATTACAAATCCCCAGCGCCTGACAGTTTGTGCTTGGAAAGCCTGAGTGCCGGTAAGAGAGCTGGAAGTAAGCTTGGAAATTCTAAAGCAAAAATGTAGCGGAGCCCGGGAGATGGCTCAGCGGCACAAGCACCCATCTGGCAAGCGCAAGGTCCTGAGTTTGATTCCTGGTACAAAAAAAAATGTAGCAGAGACCCCAAGAACAAGAAAAAGAAGTAGATACCTAGATCCCAAAGGGGCTGAGGAGGCTGTGCTTCAAAGGCCATGCTGATTCCTGCCTTTCAGCTCTCTCTAGTGGTCACCAAAAGCTGTGTATCAGGCACTCTGCCAGGGCCCAGGGACTTGAGGAATGAAAGGATCAGAGTTAGAGACAATAGTGAGAAGAATAAGAAACTGCAGTATCTTCTTTCCAAGGTATCTTTTCCTCCTCTGGACCCCAGTGGTCTGGAGTAGATGTACCTCCTTCGTCCTGAGGACAGGAGGAGGGCCAACACACCCCCACCGAGACAGAGATGGCCACATCCCCTGCCCACCTCCACTCCCCACCACTGGGCTCCCTGGGGCCAAAATCGCCCGGAAGAACAAGCACAACTCAGTGTCAGTTTCCTGCTGAGCTTGGGCCAGATAAAATTAGCCCACTGCTCACATCTAACAACTGTCAGAGCCGCGTCCAGCTGGCGTGGGGCGGCGGCGGGGGTGCGGACACAGACGGCCTCTTTCCCTCCCGCCCCCCTGCCCGCACCCATTGAACTAGAGGGCAGCACCTATAGCACCCACCCCACCCCCACCCCCACCCCCGGCCCAAAGCCTCCATGCTGAGCCCCTGCTCCTGCCAGAGCCTGAGAAACCCGCAGGGCGACCTCTACCCCCTTTACCCTTCCCACCGCGCACCCACCCTGTATGCCCCGGCACGGACTGGGCCCTGGGACCCAGGACTGGGGATGCCGATCGGCATGACTCCCCACGGGGGCCCCTGCCACCCCGCACTCTAAGACCGCCTGGGGATGCCGACGGGGCTGGGAGTCCCAGGCTCTGGCTGTGGCTCTCCGCCGTGGCTGTAGCTGCCCTGGCCTCGGTCCACGATGGGCGGGGCCGAGTGGGTTCCTGCCCCTCCGAGGGCTTCCCTCCATTTCCGGGTCTAGGAGGGGTGACGAGCCCTGGAAACGCAGCTGTCCCTGCCGCTCAGGCCAGGCCCACCCCGGGCAAGGAGGCGGGAAGAAAAGCGGGAGGAGCCGGTCTCCAGCCCTGACAACAATCCCGCGAGCCTGTGTCTCCGGCTCGGCTCCTCCTCAAACCCTCGCCCCCACCGCCTGGCCCAGACACCGCCACCTGGGGCTGCAGAGGCAATGGCGTCCCCCGCCCCGGCCCTCAAGGTGGTGTGGCCTGGGCCCACCGAGAACCCCTTACCAGGGGCCCCCGCCTCCCTCCAGCTGAGAGCGCCGGCCGCAAGGTCCCAAGGATGACAGGCCGGCCACTGCTAGCAAAGGGCCCACCCAAGGGAGGCCAGGCTCCAGGCCCGCCAGCATGAGAGGCCGGGGGAGGGAAAGGCCTCCAGGAAACGCTCCTGCTCCACTCAGCCGCCCACCTCCACCCTCCTCTCCAGTCTCCAGCCCCGGACGGGCCCTGCCAGGCTGCCTCCGCACAGCTCAGCCCGGTGGTGCTGCTTCCACCAAAGAACTCTCCCCGCTCCCCGACCGCCCGCTCACCACCAGGCCTCCAGCAAAACCGGGACAGAGACCTGGGGTTGTGGTTCAGCGGCACAGAGCCGCTGCTTAGCGACCAGCACCAGCCTGAACGGTCTGTCCCACGACTCTGGGGAGTCAGCCTCACTGATGGGAGCTCCCAGCTCAGGCCTGCTCCCCTACCACAGTTTACAGATCTCACCCAGGGAGAAGGCGATTCCCCTGACAGCTGCCTTGAGGTGACACAGGTGAGCTAGCGAATTGCCGAGGCTGGAGAATCCTCCTCCAAACCTGCCCGGAGCCTTGGCAACGGTGAGGACCACATCGTCTCTTCCAACCACCTGCCCTCCTTCATTTGCTCCTGGCCACTTTCCCCCCGACCTGCTTCCTTCTATCGCCAGCCTAGTGGCCCCTGAGGAGGGCCAGGCGATCACCTCCACTCTCCCTTAACACATTCCCACTCACATGCTCCCTCCTCCCAAGGAGGCTTCTTGGACGGGCAGCCTCACAGATCTTGTCTCAAGCCTTGCAAACAACAGTTTCTTTCAAAACCTGTCAGGTGAAGATCTTCCAGCTCCTGACTTCTCACTTGCCATCTCCACCCCTCTACTCCACCACACAGGCATGGACCCGCCCTCCAGCTCTGGGCACCTGGAATGCCCTTCCCTTCAGAGACCGCCTTTAATGGTAACAAGGACTCCCTCACCTCTGGGTGAGCAATTTACCATTCTCACATGCTCCCATATCCCTCATCACAATTTATGCCCATTTTCCAGATTGAGGCCCAACCCAGAGGGGAACTGACTGTCAAGTTTTAACCCCTTCTCCGGGGACCTTCCACCCCTCTCCACAGAATGTGAGCAAATTTCCCTTCCTTCCTTACTTCTCAGGGAGCCTCCTTACTACTTTCATAGTCAGCACCTGATCCCCCGTGCCTATTCTGTCCCCTATGGAAGGCTCTGGACATAGAGTGGCATCACAGCCCCAAAATGAGGCATGGAGTGCAGCAAAAGCTGAGCTAGGTCCTTGGTGCACCTCCACACACCCTCCTACCCCCGTTTCCCCTACGGAGGGTATGTAGAAAAGCCTTTAGGAATATCTGGTCTGTCTTTCTTTTAGAGTAACCCTCATTGGCTTCTGGGGTCCTCCCCACCTCAAAATGGAGGCAAAACTTCAACATGAGCTCTCCTATACCTTTCTTCCTTAGCCCTTCTCATATTAGTCAATAAAATTATCATTGCTAGGGATACTTTTCATGATTTTGCTTGATGCTCACAGGTCACCAAATTATCCTTTGTTCTGGTTATTTGGGGGTAGGGGTATGGATATGGAGCAGCTCCTGAGAGGCTCTACTTTCATAGGAAAGAACTTGTGGTCAAATTCTATGTTAAAGGTCAACATAGCTAATTCGGAGGCTCCCTTCCTTCTAGGCTTGTGGCATTCTGCCAAGCTACACAAAGAAGATGTGAAATAGTAGTAAATATTATGCAAAGAAGAGTTAGGAAGCTCCCAAAGTAGTACTTCAGAGAGGGAAAAAGGAGGGATATGCCTCTTAGTTACTTTTCTGGCTGCTGAGACAAAATACCCAATGTACACAGTTAAGGAATGGAAGGTTTATTTAGTTTGTAGTGATTTCAGTCCATAATTGGATGGCTCCAGGGGAGGATGGCTTTGTAGAGGAGAATAGCTCGTGGTGGCCAGAAGACAATAAAATCAACAACCAACCTTAACAGTGTCTTTCTGCTTCTTTTATGCTCTATCTAGGCTGCTGGGATTAGGGTGGTGGTAATCCAGTCAGTGAACTGATCACACACCCTTAATCTTAGCGTTACACACTCTAGATTCAGCCACCTCTGAAAAGGCCTTATTACCTCAAGGGGTTTTGGGGGAAAATCTGACAGAAAGCATAACAACGCCTGAATCCCTGCCTATACACTTCAGTGAAATATACTTCTCCTGTACGTGCTTCCCCAAAACTGGGGCAATAACCTTCTTCCTCAACTCCCCTTGCTCTACTTGAGAGATCACTTATATTTGCAGAGGAGCTTGCTGTTTGCGAGCACCTCTCATCTGTCACTACTATATTTTTTGATAGTTCTAAATTCCCAAATCCAAAAAGCCACAGCCTAAACCTTTCTGTTCGGGTTTAGATCTAAAATGTCCTCCAAAAGTATCATGTATTCAGAGGTGTGGATTTTGGAAGTTGGTTGAATCACAAGGGCATTATACTCATTAGCAGATTAATCCATTGATGAGTTCATGGCTGAATGTGCTGTTTGATTATAAGGGCCTAGCTGTAGATGGAACACTGAGGCATGACCTGGGTGTATTCTTGTCTATGGCTCCTCTCTTGTCTCTGCCTCCTAGCTGCCATTAGGTGAGCATCTTTCCTCTCCTATGCCCTTTCACCATGATGTTTTTGTTTTACGGCCAACTGACCATGGACTGAATCTCATGAACCATAAACCAAATAAAGCTTCTCCTCCTTTAAACTGTGGGTGTCATTTATTGTGTGACAGCAGTGTGAAAGTAGACTAATTCAACATGAATACATTCAAGCATCTAGGCAGTCTTTCCAAGATTATGACTTACTTCTCAACTGCAATAGCTTGGCCTGGAAAGTAGGGACAGCCTAGTTTGAGGAAAAGTAAAGTTCCATGCAAAGCTAGTTCCACTTCAGTAGTTATGTAAATAGCTGTAACTAATGAACTCCAAAACCACTTTAACATTATGTTAACAAAGCACAACAGCTTCAAACAAAGTTAATGTAATTAACTTTTTTATCCAAAGAAGTTCCTCATAGTCTTATGCCAATCCAGTTAAGGTTTTCCTATTAAGAGAAAATCAAAGAAACAAAGAAGGCCAAAGATGAAATGGTAGTAAGTTTCAGGCCCAGCAACTTTGAAATTGCTATCTATGAATCAGAAGTACCTCCAGGTCCACAGACACATACAAGAAGACAGAAGATTGTAAAGTGCCTGGCCTCCTTTCCCTTCAAGCAGAATAAAAGTTTTAACTTTGAAAAGGGGGATTCTTCTATTTAAAATTTAAGAACATTTTCCTACTTTACTCCAGGAAGAATGGCTATCACTTTTTAAATTTAATTAAGCTTATTGGCACAATTTAGGTGTATAAAATGAGACATTCATCATAGGGATTACATCATAGGGTATACATAATATACCTTGATTTGTCTGTTTTTCCTCCTATTCCCCTCCTCTCCCTTCAACTTCTCTTCCCCTCCTTATTTAAGAAATTTTGTTTCCATTTTATCTTTCGTTTTTCTTTCCCCTTCCTTCCTTTCCCCCACCCTCCTCCCTACTTTCCCTTTCCTTTTGAACAATTTCTTCCCATTTCACAATATCTTTTCTACAGTTTGGTTCTTATTTATACTTTCAGTTTCTCACACCAGTAAGACAATGCAATATTTTCAAATATGTGTCTGATTTATTTCATTTAAGAGTATGGTCTCAAGATTCATCCATTTAGCAGTAAAATGTCTCAAGTTTATCCTTTATGGCAGAGTAGTACTCCATTATATATAGAAAAACCACATTGTTTTTATCTATTCATTGGTTGATGGCATTTGGATTGTTTCCAAGATTTAGCTATTACAAACTTTGTCACTATAAACATATATCACTGTATATTTATTGCTCTGGTATGATGCTTTTAATTCTTTTCGGAAAATACCAAGAGAAATACCTGGGTCAAATGGACTTCTAATCCTAGTTTACTAAGGACTCTAAAGACTGATTTCCACAGTGGTTACACCTGCCTACACTCCCACCAACAGTGCAGAAGTGTTCCTTTTTCCCTACAGCCTCACCAACGCTTGTTTTTATATTTCTTATTTTTTAATTTTAAAAATAAAAGGAGGAAAACATTAACAGACAGGCAACCTTTTACAAAATAACAAAAGAACAGTACAGACAGTACGGAGTTACAAACAAAGTGGTAGGGAATTAACAATGCTTGTTGTATTACATATTGATATTTTCAAAGTGGTTTCTCATGAAAACAGATATAGACATACAAAGCTGATCAACCAAGGACTCATTGACAGCTTCTTTCAGCAAAGAAATACAAGACAGTAGCACAGCCATGTTAACTATCCTGCATATACATACATACAAACTTTCTCCTTCTTTCCCTTCTCTTTTCCCATATCCCGGTTAGCCTTTACCTTTGAGAGCTTTCCTATCAATTCACAATGTCTATCATATCTCCTAGTTTGAATTAACTCTTTCAGGTTTTACACTAGTGAAACAATGCAGTGCTTGCACATGTAT